TTAGCAAGAATTTCAGATTTGTAACTATTCGGTGAGGTTTTCTGTTTATATTGTTTGTCCTTCAGTTTTGAGTTTAAATAATCTCGAGCGAAGCTCAAACATTTTAAAGGTCCGTATGACGGTGATGCGCAAGCACCCTTTGATTGACACTAAGAGGAATACCAGAAGATGTTTATCCAAAAGAAATCGCTCAAGACACCGGGGAGTCCACACTACACCAGAGAAAATTGACAACGCAGCTTTATTTTTAATGTTAGTAGGGGCGTTGCAAGCCATTCTTCCATTTAAGCCCAAATTGAACAGCATAAGTCGTATATCAAATTTTGCTAACGTCCAAAAAATAAAAAAAAAACAGCGTACAACAACAACAACAACAGTCGACTAAATTTTCGTGCGCAAAACTACTTCAAAGTTCTGCTTTGTTAATAACCTTTCAGCATTTTTCTTGTTTAGGATTGAAAGTCATTATTTTGTTTTTCAAAATAAAACGTTGATATAGCGGTGATTCGCTATTGAATAGTAAGAAAAAGAAAATATGGCCCTTCGGCTATGAAAAAAAATTATTCACAGAAATTGCTGTTAAACCGTGCTTAATGGCTTAAAGGCTAGCTACGCTCCTGGTTAGGCCTGCCGTCCTCAGTAATCCCTCACGAAATCGGAGCTTAACAAAAGCACCCTTCAAACCGGAGGAATTTGAAAATGCTGGCTTTGCATTTAAGTGTCGAAGGAAAACATTTGAAAACGGAGATTTTCGAAAGTAATGACATGAGTATAATCATGTGATTTTCCTCATCGAGTTTTCCTCCAGCACAAATCCAAAATGACCGGTCATTGTTTCTTCTTCAAATTTTTCCGACGTAGTGTGGACCGAAAATATTTGATGAGTTTTCAGAGTGAAAACTCCGTTTTCAAATTTCTTCGGCTTAGTGTGGATGAGGTCTCAGCTTAATTCCCAGCGCCGCCCGGAATAATTTGCAAATCTCTCATGACTTTACAGTGGAATCCTTATTGGCCCGATTTTGACTCGTGTGAAATGAGCCTTTTCATATCTCCCCTCTAGGATACCAATTTTTCTTCGATCTTCTCGCAGAAATACAAAATATGCTGTGACCCATCCCTCCCTCCCTCACAAATGGCAAATAATTCCTTGAATGCCGTTACTATAACTTTCACAAGCCGCGCACATGGAGAAGAGTGACATAAGCCCTTCAATTTAAAAAAATAATAATTTAGGAATTGAACCTGACTTTTGGACCTGGTAAGTTTAGAACAACAGCTTAAGGACGGTGCCTACTTTTGTTAGTGCGCACATGTTCTGCGTGCTAAGGTTGGCATTGACGTAATCAACTACGCTACCAAGCACACGAGTAAAACAATAGCAAAATTTTCTTACCCTGACCAAATCAAGTTTAATGAACGTGTACTACAACCAGGAATACCATAATAGCAGATTATCGCTAACCACTAACTGTTAACTGCTTCCAGTTGAGAAACTAGCTGTTATCTATCGAAAATTATACTGAAATCCAACTGTAAACATGTACCTACAGATGGCGTAGTGCACGCAAAACGAGCGCGACAGACGCAAATGTTTTACTTACTGGGGAGGTGACGGGAAAAAATGTAACGGGCACCGTAAAAGTTTTCAGAAAAAGATGATTAACTTTAAAAAACGCGCGGTTACCCCTACATTTTGTGTTATGAGACGAAAGTGGCAAGCCTATTCAACACGTTATTAGTTTCTAGTTGTGAGGAAAAGCTATTTAGACTGTATTTAAGCTGAACAAAGGGAAGGCTGTCAGGGACACTAAAAGCACTGTTGTAACGATTTTGTTATTAAAAACATACTGTAACATATTGGCATATGAGAATTAGCACCTATTGTATGTTATATTTCGTGTACGCATACTTACTGAGTAGGATAGCACATTATGCAAAGCCGGAAAGCACACACATTTACGCGGTGTGTATGAACAAGCAGAATAAACCTATTCGACAACACACTACATGGTGGCAGCGTTTTACAAGAATAATTTCTAGAGTTAAATCAAGAGAGGCCAGCAGAAGCGAATTATGGCAACAGCAACGTCTTTTGCGTCGCCAC